CCAGTCTGTATACACTAGAGTATTATCAAATATTTGTGTCTCATATACTGTATTGTGCCACTTTGACATCTCTTGATTAACTGTACACTGCATCTGCAGATCATCTCTGTCATTGGAAACAGACAATGAAGTATTGTAGCAATCACCACCGTAGGGGTTAATTGTATGTTGTTTGTTTTATTTTCTTGGCATCACATTAGCAATCCATTCAAAACTATTATTATTTGTGTAGCACACTTATTCTCCCAATATTTTTTAGCTCTTCTTTAACTGAAAGAGTCCCAGTTTACGCCCTTAGTGAAGACCAGTACACAATCATTAGGTGTTTTATATTTCCCAAAGTTTCAGCACTGAGAATGATTATGTGCTGAAGGCTCTACATCCTATTCTTAAAGACTGATATTTTATTCCATTTAATTTCGTAAACAAAGATGCTGAATTGTACACTGTGCCATTACTGGTCTTAGCATTGTGCAGTATATTAATTTTAATGATTGTTGTCTTTTGTTATCATTTGTCTGTTATTTTCTTTATCTGTGTATCTGCATAATTTCCATCCATACTTCAATAATTGACCGTACCTTCTTAATCAGTTTTCTATTCTGATCTCAAAGCAAATAACTGAGAACATCAATCGGACGCATTTTTATGAAGTCATCATAGACTTAAAGTATTTTACAGTATTTTAAAAATGCTAAAATACAGAAGTATTTTGATAGAAAATATAAACTTGTTTACATAAACCCCATCAAATACAAATCACAAAATACTTTTTTTGTAATTTAAATATTTGAAATACATGTATCATACTGCCAATCCCGTGTGGGCCTATTCATAGAATTATTTGCGGTTTTCTTGCTACAAATTGTTTTACAAATAATTAACCCGCGTTTTACACAGGGACATTTGATACAAAAAAGTAACAAGATTATGGCATTTGTGTTGGTTTACACTTAGTTGAAAAGGTTAGCGGAGATTGCTGTGACAGTGAATCCACACACAGTGTGTAATCACAGTCTAAACAGAGTGGGGAATGGCTGAAAAGTCACGCACACCGTTACAGACGATATGACAACCACATCACGTACTTGCCTTCCTGCTCTGACAGACAGGTTATTTCATTCTGTGCCCAGACAATGGAAAACATATTTGCGTTAAAAATAGCTGTTAAAATATCCCCCGAAACGCTTCAATATGCCACCTGTCTCTTTATCATAATGAATATGACCTTTCAAAAGCCACTGACAGTAATCAGTCGGAAATGCCCGTGAGTGCTTATAGTAATGAACAATGATTGCGCAATCCCGTAATTCTGCTCGAGCTGGGCCGCCGGGTCTGCAGTTCTTTTATTGTTTTCCTCACTCAAACAAATTGATTAGCCGAAGTAATTAATGGTGTAAAAGTTAGAAGTCGTCTCATTGTGTCACTCCTATTGTAATGCGTCTGCACTTCACTCTCCGCACAATTAATTTTTCCGGATAATCAACTAGCGATACAACAAACGCTCGTGCATTCACGGCCCTCTAGTGAGGAAAAGAACAGGATATGTGTTAATTAAAACACCAACATGTTTACAACTGAGTAAAATTGAGAGAAAGAGGTTTGTTGAAATTACCGTAATTAGACGCAAAGAGACCCGTCAGCTCTGTTTTCCCGCCACCAAATTCCCCTCACGGCTCCGTGAGTCTCAAATGTGCCGGTGGAGAGAGCAAACACATAATAAAACTATTTTAACCACAACTCTTCTTTTCAATACAGTGTATGGAGGCTTATCAGTCTATTGAAGTGTGAGCAAAACCATTCCATTTGGCCAGTACAAAGGGCAGCGTGGCTACCATAAATAAACATCAATTTCATTCAGGAACACATGAAGACTTCACACACACACACACACACACACACACACACACACTTTCAGATATGCACAGTCTGAGGGAGACACACACCATCACCGATTTGCACACACCAGGACCCTATCTCTAAAGTAAACAGATATGACAGGAATGATTTTGAGGAAAGAAGAATGAAGGGAAGATGAAGCGCTTATCTGTTTGGGAGTTAGGTGTCGATGCACATGAACTAATTCAGTTCTCAGCAGGGTATGAAATGATAGATTTCTACCATGGTTCAATAAAGCTGCTTCAATTGTCTTCTTTAAAGGAACAAAATGTCAATTGAACTTCACATGAGAGTTTTAAATGGATGGTTCATGCAAAAAATTTAATTCACTGTTAATACATAACTCCAGGCCATTGGAGATGTAGGCTATTTTTCAAAAAAGAAACGTTTCTACATGATTCTTGAAATGCAAGTCAACAGCACACTAGTTCCTTACAAAAGAGGGAAAAAGCATATACAATACAAAATTAAAAAACATACTGATAATAGTCTAAATGGTAGTCTTTTAAAATAAAATAATTGTGGGTAGGCGAGAAAGGGTTCGCAGTAGGTAGTGCTGTCGCCTCACAGAAAAAAGGTCGCTGGGTTGCTGGTTCAAATCTCAGCTCAGTTGGCGTTTCTGTGTGGAGTTTGCATGTTCTCCCTGCCTTCGCGTGGGTTTCCTCCGGGTGCTCCGGTTTCCCCCACAGTCCAAAGACATGTGGTACAGGTGAATTGGGTAGACTAAATTGTCCGTAGTATATGAGTGTGTGTGTGAATGTGTGTGTGGATGTTTGCCAGAGATGGGTTGCGGCTGGAAGGGCATCCGCTGTGTAAAAACTTGCTGGATAAGTTGGCGATTCATTCCGCTGGGGCGACCCCGGATTAAAAAAGGGACTAAGCTGACAAGAAAATGAATTAATGAATGAATAATTGTGGTTAAAAACTCAAATGTGAGCTGACATCAGGGGTGTTGCTAGACATAAAGCTCTACTGGGACACAGCACCCCATTCAAAAAACATAAATAAATAATTAATTAATTAATTACTTAAAAAAAAAAAATATATATATATATATATTTTTTTTTTTTTAATTATCTATGATTTTCTTATTTTAAACTGTCTTGCCATTTTAATTTTTTTTAGTCTGCTTCAGTTAGGTTCTGATTATTTTTTATTTTAGTTAGTTTTAATTTGTTTTGCTTTTTTGCATTAAAATATTTCTAATATTTCTAATAGTAAGTATTCAATTAATTCTAATGATTATACAATTTTTATGTGACTAAATTAATAAACAAAATGCAAATAAATAAATACCAAAGTAAATATATACATTGCTTTTATCAGCGTTGGTTTGGTTGCACATAAAGAATTTTCTGGCATTACCACTCTTAATACACCTGCATATAAAATTTTAAAGCATTTACTGGGCCACTGTCAATTTTTACTCGGGCACATGCCCCAGTTAATGGGGTCTAGCGACGCCCCTGGCTGACATTGTAAGATTTTTTACATAAAGGCCTTGCAGCATTGAGGAAAAACATTTTGATTAAACAACAATGCATCCTCATTGTCAATTGTCATTCATTCATTCTTTTTTTTTCGGCTTAGTCCCTTCTTTAATCTGGGGTCGCCACAGTGGAATGAACCGCCAACTTATCCAGCATATATTTTACGCAGCGGATGCCCTTCCAGCTGCAACCCATAACAGGGAAACATCCATAGGCACTCATTCACACACATACAGTACACTATGAACAATTTTAGCATACCCAAGTCACCTATATACCATATATCTTTGGCCTTGTGGGGTAAACCGGAGCACCCGAAGGAGACCCACGCCAACATAGGGAGCACATGCAAACTCCACACAGAAACACCAACTGACACAGCCGAAGATCAAACCAGCGACCTTCTTGCTGTTAGGCGACAGCGCTACTCACTGCGTCACCTCATCTCAATTGTAAATCAATAAATAAAATTTAAAAAAGAGCAGCAGCTCAAATGCTATATTACAGTGCCCAGGCATGTCATTATGTCAATGGTTGCTCACATTGTGACAATTTGTTGCTGGGGATTAAATGTTTCTAAAAATGCTCAGACTGACTAACTTTTGCTTTTTAAATAATGTGTGATGGTCTTTGATTTAAAGTTTAGTGTTGTGATGGGCTATATACAGAGAGAGAGAGAGAGAGAGAAAAAAAAAACATTTCACAGGCAGAATTGGTGTTAATAAAATTTTTTGACATTTCTTTAATAGTTCATTATTTACCAAAAAATATAATTGAACAGACAAAAAGTAATGTTATCAGTTGTTATTAATAATCAAGATTACTCCCCAAATAATTTCTCTTTTCTCATTCTTTTTTCTTTGCCTACACAGATTTACAGACATTAGAAAACAATAATAAATAGACAATGATTTTCCTATAAACACAAATCAAGATGGAAGCATTGGCTAATTTTTTTTTATGTCAACATGGTTTAATATTATAGTCAAAAATACAATTTGAAAGCTTAGCCTATGTTCTATCTATCTTTTTTGGCAAGGTTTATATGGACAAAGTTAAGCTCGTCGGACTGTATGCCTAAGGATGTTTAGCAAAAAGGCCTCACATTTTAAATAGGCTACCACTGAAGTATTAACGTTACCATAATGTCTGTAATTTTATTTCTTGCAATTCAATTAATTACTTTTATTGCCTGTTGTAGAGTAAGTTGATTAACTAAGATTAACTAAGACAAAAACAAGTTTAAAATGCTATTATTTTATTTATATGTATGGATTGAGCACATACAGAATTTTAATAATAAGCATCATTAAATTTAGATGTAATGTAATGTATTAATATTTATTTATTTATTTATTTATTTATTATTATTATTATTATTAATATTATAATTATTATTATTATTATTATTATTATTATTATTATTATTATTATTATTGTTGTTATTATTTTAAACATTCTTGTTAGACATCCACAGTTTGTTTATTTTGCACGTGAAGGAAGTTGTATAGCAGAGTAAACCTCCAGTGTTCAAGTCTCGCGATAAGAACCGTGACTCGCCCCTGTTAACACGCTTAGGAAACCCTGCGCGTGCCTCTTCCTTTTGCTGTCCACAAGCAAGGTAAATCATACTCCGCGTCTTTCTAGACTATTCAGCGACTTTTAAACAGTATTTCATAGTATTTCGTGCATAAATTCATCTTAGTATATAGTGGCACTCATGTGAACTCCCGACTATTCATAAAATGACACGCAAAATGACAGTTTATTTGAAAAACGAGATCGCATGCTAAGAATCCCCGGTCTTCCAATGGCTGCGCCCATGGAGGTGCACTGAGGCCTGCTCCGCTTTACATCTTTTGCTTTGTTAAGATGTAACGATAGGCCCTGAGTTAATAAAAGTTACTAGTATTCGTTACGTGGTTTAAGAAAACAACCATATAAGTTGTTTTTTTGTTAGTCCTTAGCGTTACGATGTGTGCTCAATACATAAGGCAGACATAAGCGTGGTTGTTAGCTTTTAGCACACACGTTGTCTCAGAACATTCAACTAACGTTACACGTATCAACAACCACAAATGCGTATTATATTGTAAATAAAGTATTGCTGATAACAGCAAGGTTTGTTCTGCCCCTAACCACATTGTGCATGAACACTGATTAAAAAGTAACACATCGATGTTAGCTTTCTATACGTATTATGCGATTTGTTTTCTTTACTGTTAAATATTAATATAGGTTTTGATGTTAATTCGTTTTCAGATGCCAGGTGGTGTAACAGTGAAAGACGTCAACCAGCAGGAGTTTGTCCGGGCGCTGGCAGCCTTCCTCAAAAAGTCAGTACATTTTATATTTATGTTCAGTGATGATTGAACGTGCTGTAATTCAGTAGTTAACATTTGAACCGAGTTAAAACTTTTCATCAAATTTGTCCTAAAACCATTAAACAAGTCCTGGTCTTGGGACAATTTTGAAACGTTTTTTTGGTCCACTTCTAAAGTTGACTGCTGTGTAATCATGCTTGAGACTTTGTGATAAAAGCATGTGTGTGTTTTAGCTAATTATGAACCCTTGTCTTTTGAAAGGTCGGGGAAGCTGAAGGTGCCAGATTGGGTTGACATTGTCAAACTTGCTAAGCATAAGGAGTTGGCTCCCTGTGATGAGAACTGGTTCTACATCAGAGCTGGTGAGTTTTTCATGTTTTATCATAGCTTATGGACATGCATAGAATCAGTGTAACTTTCGTCCATTCCATATCCCATATATATAGATAGATAGATGTGTGTAATATGTGTATGTATGTGTGTATATATATATATATATATATATATATATATATATATATATATATATATATATATATATATATATATATATATATATATATATATATATGTGTGTGTGTGTGTGTGTGTGTGTATGTATGTATGTATGTATGTGTGTGTGTGTGTGTGTGTGTGTGTGTGTGTGTGTGTGTGTGTGTGTGTATGTGTATATATATATATATATATATATATATATATATATATATATATATATATATATATATATATAACACATACACACCACCTACATGTGTATAATGAATTTAAGTGTTATCCGTTTTTCTGTTCTAAAATAAAAACTGAGCCAAGATTTTTTTTTTTTGAAAAAGGCTGATAAATAGCCTCAATTTTCAATATTTTGGCTTGAAAATGGTTACAGAATAGACAAAAGATACCCTGATTGCATGGAAGGCTGGCTTTTGTGTGTTGCTCTTAGTGCACAAAGTTCATGCAACATTTGCACGTTAAAATACACATGCTGGCTGTGTATTCATTAATTTGAGCTGTTTTTAAGCCTCCTGCTAGGTATATTGCATTGATTCATTAGTAAATGTCATGTCATTATTTGTCAGAAGCAAGGAAGATGCATTGTGAATGGCTTTTGTTAACTTGTACAAGGTCTACTCTGTGGCATATCACATGTTCGTTTTTTTTATTTTTTTTAATAAAATATTAAATTACCTTATTGTAAATACTTACTTGGCGTTTACAGTAGTCAAGATTAAAAGTGTTTTAAATGAACTATATGATTGTAGTGATGCTTTTAAATGTTACTAGTACTCATATAGCAGAAAGTATTTCTCAAGTGTATATACTTAAATTTAAACAGTGATTTACATGGTTCAGAACTAGGGCTGGGCGATAAACTTGGTATCAATATTTATTGACTGAACACCATTGTCAATATCGATTTAAAAAAAAAAAATTTAAATGTAGCTTTATGAAGGCTGTGGTTTTATAAAAATGTATCTGTTAAACGTGGCCCTTGGAAGCAATCCTATTCCAATGGAGGCGTGTAACTTGCAGGATGCACCTATGGGAGTGACGTGCATTTTCAGCAGCACCTAGTTGAAAACGTCTAAACTTTTCCAAATGCTACAAGTGCATCGTGATTCATGTCAAGTAGAACTATCCAATCTGCTTCACACTTTGTATGGAATATACACATTTCAGTAATAACGACCAACTAATTACCCGAGACAAACGGTGCATTCAAACACTACAATTGTTTGTCCATTTATCATCCTCTGAAAAAATGGTTTATGGTCACCTAGTTACGAGAGACTCGGGGAGCGCGAGTGCAAAATCTATTGTAAATGGTCAAGGAATCCACACGCCCGAGATTGTCACTTAAGGTCAGAATAACAATGCATGCAAAATTAAGTGCTGAATAGCAGCAGCGAAAAGATTATAAATACAAAAGGATATCTCCGTAGTGGCTTTTTGGTTTCTTTTCTTGTGCATCCCAGCCAACCCATCTGAGTTTTTTTTTTTAAGCATAAGCAGTAATATAGTCATTCAACTTCACATTTTGTAATGTTGCGATATGTATTTGAATAATGGTTGGTCAGTCGCTCAGATTTGGTTATAATTTGTGTTGTTCACAGTTTGAGGTTTACTATATCATTATTATTAACTCCTTAAAGGTTGCCTTGATTGTTTATTATTTGCACTTTACATTTGCACACACTTTGTAACATTTTATTTATGTAGTTTATCTAAGTCTCTTTAACACTTTTATTTTTTAAAAAAAAGATCTTATATATTTGTTTAAATTTTTGTTTTTGACTATTAAATCCATTTGCTGTAGTAATGTTGGTAAATAAAAAAAAAAGTGGTTAATCCTAATATTTCTAAATGGATTTTTAAAAACATTCAATAATAATCTATATTGAATGATATGAAAAATTGTGAATTTATTTATTTTTTTTTTGCAATGTCACTCTGCCCTATTTAGAACAGTTGTGTAAAATGATAAATGCGAAGTACTGAAGTTTATGTAACAGCCCTAAGAAGAGGTCAGGTAAATTATAGAATGCAATTTTCTGTTTGGCAGAATTATTATTTTTATTTATTTATTTTTTTTTAACAATTTTTGCCTGTTTACATTTGACACTTTATAAAGTTTTAGAGTTTTTATAAAATTGTAGTTTTGTTAAATTAGTTTCTAGGTGCATGTTTTTGAAGGCAGCTGTTAGTTTAACTACAAAGTTACAAGAGTTGATTAATGTGTCATCAGTTTCTGGTTTATGGTGAGTTTTAGTAGTTAGGAACTGATATTACAAGTTAATTATTTTTTAATAGACTAGCATTGGTCCTTTTAAAGATTCGTTTTTTTTTTGGCATATTGGTTGTCCTCCACTACTCACTGAAGAAGTCTTTTCTCTCTCTCTCTCTCTCTCTCTCTCTCTCTTGCAGCCTCCACAGTGCGTCACCTGTACCTGCGTGGAGGTGTTGGCGTGGGCTCTATGACCAAGATCTATGGCGGGCGTAAGAGGAACGGTGTGTGCCCCTCTCACTTCAGCGTGGGCTCCAAAAATGTTGCCCGTAAAGTACTCCAAGCCCTTGAGGGCCTCAAGATGGTGGAGAAAGACCCCAATGGGTGAGTAGGCTGAATTTGTGTAATGTGTAGATGTAGTGGAAATTTCTTTTATCTACAAAATAAATTTAAACTCTGAGATCTGAAATTAAATAAGACCAGGCAGATTGTTTTATCATAGTTTAATTTTGTAGATTGAGCCATTCATACACAAGCATATTTGTGAGCGGAAAGAGCAGTGCATTGCTCTCAATAGCTTGCAAAATTATTAGTTGAGAGAACTGATTCACTCAACCGACTTTAGGAGTTTCACCACTCGCACCACAATCGTATCACAGAGAAATCGTATACTTGCATGAACTTTCACACTATTGATCATTCATTTTGTAATTAATACTCTATTGATCTATGAATATTGGGAAAAACAGATCCATTTGTAGTAAATTTCCATTACACAATCTTCTACACTACTGTGCTCTATTGATTCCTCAAGACTTTAGACCTTATGACTAATTTCTGATCTACTTCATCAGCGGGCGTAGACTGACCCCCCAGGGGACCAGAGACCTGGACAGAATTGCTGGGCAGGTGGGTGCCGTTGCATTACTGTATTTGAGAACTTGAGCTCTTACAACGTTGATTTTCTAAAGTCATATTTAAGAAGCTATTGATTTTGTTGGTTAGGGTTCTTAACTTAAACAGATACTGTATGAGCGATTGTGGGATCTCATAATTTACAAAATAGTGTTTCCTTTAGTTTTATAATTAAATTTTAATAAAATTCAAATGAGGCTGTATAATGCAGCTTTGAAGAGCAGATGCAGGTACTAAGTGTGAGGAATCGACTGACTTAAAAGGCCTTGCGGTTCAGTTTTGACTGCAGTAGCTTTGATTTAGTGTGTGGACACAGTACAGTCTTTAAAAAGGAAATGCATGCACATCATCTCCAAAGCCTTCGCTTGCATTTCACCCCCTCTGTTGGTCCTCTGCTTTCCCTGTGAGCTACCGCTGTGCGCCAATCCGATGCTGGAGGAAGTAAACAAGCCGATTGAATTTCATGCTCGCTGGGCTGCCGTATGGCGGCGTTTTATTCTGCCTGATCCTCCTTAATGAGCTGAATTCAGATGAGTTAACGTGATTTTCTTGTGTTGTGCTTGCCTTGGCTGTGTGTTCTGCACTCTTGACTCTTTCCAGAACACTGTTGATATGCTTGGCTTGGTGGCATCAGCAAAAACAATGTCAGGGTTGCTCCTAATCTCCTGGCTAAGATCACGTCCAGAACCTTAAAACCTTCTAAAACGTTTGCCCACTGTTAATTAAATTTTCTGCAATGGGATGCAGGGATAACTAGACTGATTTTGTGTCTTTTCTAATATTGAACTCTCTTTATTATCTGTTACAGGTTGCTGCTGCAAGCAAGAAAGTGTAAAATAAACTTTTGTTGGAAACCAGTTTCTGTGTCTTAGTCTTCTGTCTTTGATTTTTTTTCCCCCTCAGCATTAAAAATAAAATGCTGTAACCTTCCACTTTTTTTAAAATTGTGTAATCCATCCATCCCATGATTTTTCAATTCTGGGTCGCTTTGTGCATTCCTGGATGCTTCTGGCAATTAGCTTGCATCATCTTTCAAAACAGATGAAGTAAGGCTGGATTTGTATCATTTCTTGGCAATGATGCCGATTGATTTACTCATTAAGACAAGTGTCTTTATTTCCCTTCTGCTAGTTTTGGCAGAGGAATTTGGAGCAGTTAATGGATAAATGCATGGGAGTCAAACAGCTGTTTATTGAACTTGCTGCATAGTAACAGTGCCATCATGTGGGCATTCATGATATGACCAGTTTATGACCGCCGAAAGGCAGTAAGTGTGAATTTAGAAGTTTAAACCTAAAACGTTAAAGTTGACTGAGGATGCGTTTGCACCTTGCACATCAAGAAAATCGCAGTCTAAAGGCCAGATCACTTTTTTTTATTTTTACCACTGAAACGCAAACTGGCCTTAATTTTTGCCCAGCGCCAACAAAAATCTGATTTTATATATTTTTTTTTGCTGTGAAGTATTAATTTAAGTCACAAAGAAAATTCTGCAAATCAGGTGATAAAGAATATTGAGAATATTTGTCTAAATAAAAATTGCCAATAAACTTTTTAGTTTGTCATGAGAAAAGTAACTATCACACACGGAACTTTTATTTGTTGTAAAAAACATATATATATATATATATATATATATATATATATATATATATATATATATATATATATATATATATAACCACGCTGGTTTGAGATTTAAAGTTCTTGTGGCGTCATCAGATTCGCTTCTGATGCTCGTTGCAGCTGAAGTCTCGCTACACGGAAAGAAAAGTGTGAAAACTTTTGACATTGTCAGATTCTATTCGGTTGGAAAGTCTGACCAAAACGGATTTCGGACATGTCATGTCAAAACAACGGTCAAAGATCAGATTTTAGCCTACGATTTATTGGTTCTTTGGAATTTGTCACATTTTTTCTCAGAGAACTTAACATACTTGAGCATGAAGGTACAGTGAAATATTGTGGCTGTTTTTTTCTTTGTGCAGTATCACTTTCAATGACTGATGAGTCACTCATTTACACCATGAAATTGTTTTCCCTTGCTTATCGGTTCTTTCATTCAAATACATTATTTCAAGTTTCTCATCCAGTAATAATTACTGTACTTTATACCCTATGTAAGTCGTTGATCACTAAGTTATAATGTCGATATAAAAAAGCTGCTTCAAACAAGGGCCAAAATAGTTACTTTCCATGATTTTATATACATACAGGTAAGATTTGTGTGCCTTGCGACATATAAATAAATGAACGTGGTGATATGGCAAGAAAAAGCACGACCCAAAACACAGAAAACACCATTAAAATGTGTCTTATGGGTAAAGGTATAACATTTGAATGGCGTTTGCTGTCGTTTCTGTGATTTGACTTATAGTTTGTTTGAATGTTTTTCCTGTATTCACCGTGGTGAAAGACGACTGCACGCAAAAGCCCTGGAGTTACAGGCGCTGTTGAACAGTGCCCGCTGGATGGGACTTTTTTATCCAGCCATCACTGTAAGCTGATGAAAACCGATTCAGCGCGGTTTTGATTATGACTCCAAGAATCTTCAAAACAGACAGGGAAACGTTATTTTTTTCTATTCGAAACTGCCCTACCATTGATTTCTTTTCATTGCATCCCTGCTGTTAAAAAAGTATTCCTGGTCTTCACTCTTTTACAATTAAACATTACAAGCGGTAGACTTTTGATCATAAACAAGTAGCCTACATAAGGTTTTTCGTGGAAGCATAAATGCCAATAAGAATCTTTATCCCTAATAAGCCTATCTTACTGACGTCACATTGTAAAAATAGCATACTGTTTTAACGCTAACAACGTGATGGGAAAACATTTGTCAAGTAAACTCCATTTTGAACTGGCTGTTAATGTGCACCAGAGGGCAGCAAAGTTTAAGATATATCACCAAAATTAAGTTGTAGCCTTAAAGTTAACTTATGCCTTTTGGGCCACATTTAGCTATTCTAAAAAATTTCCAGATTTCCACAAGTTACTGTAATTTCTTTTCACAGTAAATTACATTAGTATTGTTTTACCGTATTTAACTGTAAAAAGTTCACAGTAATATGTTGTATTCATAATTTTTTGGTTATATGTTAACATGTTTACAGCTAATTACAGTAAAAAGGGCTTTATCTTTTGAACGTTAGTTATAGAAATTCAAACTTTTTTTATTTCATTCCCACAAACCACAGATTTGAATTTTTAAGAACTATATTCTCGCATGAAAAACTGTTAAAACTGCATTTCATGACATATCAAAAGCAATATTTAAATTAAAATATTATGCAGGTTTTCTCATCCGCCAATACCATTTGCTGCAGCTTGGTGCAAAATGAATCCTGGGAGAAAAAATATTAATTCTCAAAACACTCCAAACTAACCTTTTTTTCTTATTATTAAAGTCAGATATATGTAATATTTTAAATGGCAAAGAAAAAAAATACTTACTATATTGTAATCACTTTTGCACTGCTTAAGTTCAGCACTCGTGTGACATCGATTCAGATATTTTATCAGACGTGTTCATAAGCTCATGCTCATCAACATGCAGTTAGTGTACAACTAGTTATGTTATGTTATGTTGAGTCTTATTCTACTCTTATATTCATCTTTTTTTTTGCAGCCACAGCGATTGTTGTTGAAAACCTGATGCTACCAAGCACCCCTTGCTTGATTATTCAAGGAAATGTTGATGCCTTCATCGTTTTGATTAGATTTTTAAATGTCCAGTTGATCACAGATTTGTTGTGAGCACTTTTATGTACAAACTCTTTTTTTTTTTTTTTTCTTTTTCCAGAAGTTCTTCCAGTACTCAGACAAAAAAAAAATTTAAGCTAGTCTTTGTTTTTATTAACAATTTCACTGGGCATGTGTGTTTGTTTGCTTGGTTTTCAATAGGCGGTCTATGAAATGACAACTTTATTTGTACAAACAAATTAAATTATTCACAAACATCTCTAATTTAGTCTTTCATTCCCCAGCAATACAACATCAAACAGTCTTATTCCTTGGAGCAGTGGTTCCCAACCTTTTTCTTTGGGGCCCCCCCCATGAACATATACAAACATTGGAGCCCCCCCCACCATATAAATACACACGCACGCACACATATATGTACTGTATATATATATATATATATATATATATATATATATATATATATATATATATATATATATATATATATATACTGTATGTGTTTGTTTGTGTAATATTAATATATAATATGTATAGAAAATATAAATTAATCACTTTTAACTTGTCTTGGCCTTCAATAAAACTAATCTTTGTCTAATCTTTTTCTTCGCCTCTGAAGAACCACTGCATTTACGTTTCTCTGCCATTTTTGTTTTGATTTTGCCTTTACGACGCGTTGGACAAGCACATTGCGTGAGCAAAATTTAAATAATTATTTAAAGTTATTTATTTAAATTATTTTTACTATTATGTTGGAATTTTAAGCATGTTTTGATTTTGATTTTTTTTAGTACTTGAAAATACATATATAATAGTAGGGCTGCTTGATTTTGGGAAAATCATAATAACGATTATTTTGGTCATAATTTTAATCATGATTATTCAAAACGATTATCAGTTAAAGTCAAAATTATTAGCGCTCCTGAGAATTTTTTTTTTTAGAAATATTTCCCAAAATTATGTTTAACAGAGCAAGGAATTTTAACAGTATTTCCTATAATATTTTTCTTCTAGGCTTATTTGTTTTATTTTAGCTAGAATAATAACAGGTTTAAATATTTTGAAACCAATTTAACTTCAATATTATTAGCCCCCTTATGCAATATATATTTTTGATTGTCTGCAGAATACACTACTGTTATACAATGACTTGCCTTATTACCCTAATTAAGCCTTTGATCTGCACTTTAATCTTAATGTTTGTATTTTGAAAAATATCTAGTAAAACATTATTTACTGTCATCATAGCAGAGATAAAAGAAATAAGTAATTAGAAACGAGATATCAAAACTAATATGTTCAGAAATAAGTAAAAAAAAATCTTCTTTCCATTAAACAGAAATTGGGCTGGAAAATGGTTGCTAATATTCAGGAGGGCTAATAATTCTGACTTCAAGTGTTTACATACAGTTATTTCCACCTTGCAAAGGAAAGAGAAATAAATACAATAGAATAAAAATATTAAACAAACTGTGATTTAAGCATCTTCACTGTAAGAAAAACACTTTAGCTACAGCAGTCCTTCAGTCAAGACTAGTGAGGGATTTTGTCATTGTTTGATTAATGATAAAAACAGGCGGCAGCAGAAATATTTCTCGCTGTCTCTTTAATGCAGGGGTCTCAAACTCGCGGCCCGCGGGCCATTTGCGGCCCTCAGTGCAATATTTTGTGGCCCGCGCCGACCGAATCAGAATCACTGACAGAATCAGCGGAGCGGGGAGAGAGAGCGCTCCCTGCTCCGCTGATTCTATCCGTACACAGCGGTCACTGGCATTCCCCGCCCGCTGTGTTGTCGCGCGCGTTCTCATCAGCTGTGTTGTCGCGCGCGTACTCAAGAGCGGTGTTATCGCGCGCCTACTGAAGGGCGGGACCGAGGGTGTGTTGCGTCCCGGGGGCACTTTTGATCATTTTGGAAGGGCACTTTCTATGCAAGACTAAAAAGGGCATGTGCTCTGCACAGGTTGAGCCCTATGTGTGCACGTGCCTGCCCTGCATCTTATATATATCATAGGTAGATACAGACTGGTACAGACTGATGTGACTGGAGTGGGGTAGGGGTGTTTTATTTATACATATATACACCTTTTTTAGGTGAGGGAATGGAAGTTTTGAGTGAGTTCCCCCACTTTTTTCCCAGGACTTCAATAAGTCAAAG